CGCGCTCAAGCTATTTCGCGAATTCCGAAGTTCCAAAGTTTCTCACTATATGATTGGCATTAGCAATCAAGGACAATACCAATATATACAGAACAGCACAAGTGTATTGAAGTTCATAGAATTTCGTGTATTCATGGCTCTTGATCAACCTAAAAATTACTTACCGCTTAACAACAAATAACAAACAAGTAGACATGAATGTTTTATAAAGAGAAATACAAATTAGTAGTTGAAAGAATACGGGAACTCAGGAATAAGGATGTTGAAGTTCCAATCCTTGGCACTGTATGGATCTAGTAGAGAGAGAGAGGAGTTCATAAAGATCCATTTTCAATGCGAGATTGAAGAGATATAATTTGCAGGACTCATCTGCGTTCTGCATAAATTCAAACTCCGCTTGACATAGGTAGAATGCCACATTGTTTTAAAGGCAACTGGAGTGCATTAACACAATTCGCTAACGCTTTACGTGTTTTTAAAATGTGAAGAGTTGGGTAAATGCCAACGTCACAAATTACTTTCAGTAACAGTTGTCTCTGAAATATAATGAAAATATGGGAACGGCATCGAAAACAGCAAAAAAATAGGCAGTAGCACTAAGCACACATTCTGTCCTACAATATAAACAAAAGAATAAAAAGGGGACAGGTAACAAGATCAGCAATGCGGCTCGGCAAGTTGAAATTTGGAAACTCAACTAACGCAGACCACCTGTTGTATGTCCGACGAGTCAGTAAACGGGGTGGGTAATTTCAGATGGATTGGAGATTCAAACAGAACCTACACCGCGCAAATTGTTGATATTTGATTCATCTATAGATTGTCAGTCTCTCTGCTGCCTACATACCTTTTTAAACATTATATCCTCTGCTTTCTCTAATTCAATAGTGTTTTTAGTGCGCTCTGAAAACACCCGTTCATGGAGATTGCCAGATTTGTGATCAGCCGGGACATGTGATTCATTTTGGCGTGCTTACCTGCCGAGCATGCGCTGCTTTCTTCAGGTACAGACTGCACTGTCACATGTGAACATTCCTGATTCTTGTTCGCTGTATAGGCGAACGGTGGTTATGAATCGCCAATATACATGCAGGCGAGCAAATGAATCGTGCCAAATCTCGAAGGATGAACGTTATCTATGCAGGTTGTGTCGATATAACAAATGCATGCGACTCGGGATGACGCCAGAAAGTAAGTCTCGAGCTATTTGATGGTATGATTATAGCATTTTTTGTCTTAGACTTCTTGAACTTCAAATTTTACTTGTGTTTGGGACAAAGTGAAAATGAGCAACTGCTTTCCTCATGCGAGTTGAAAAAAGACTCCCTCCGATATCGAATTACTTTAACAAATATCTTAGTTTGGTATCATATATATCTGATTATAAGTAAAACTATCTAAAAATTTTGGCGCCATTTCACTTTCAACGCCTTGCGTTGAAAGAACGCTAATTTCAGATATTAGAATTGCTAGAATTTTGACTGGAGAGGTTATGCTGATCTCGTGAATCATATCCATTTTCGCACGATATTGTATCTGAACGGTTACATAGATAGACAATAAGAAGTCGAAATCATCGATTTGGGTGAAATGTAGCTAATGAGGTTCCTGCTGATCGCTGTATCACAGCAATTTCTCACAAAATGGTCTTACTTTGCTACGATGCGTAAATTCATTACCACAGACCAAAAGCGACCGGGATTACTTTACGTGCTGATTGCACGAATAGGTTGCGTCGTATGCCGACAGGCGTAAGCTCACTAAGTACAATAGAGTTGAAAGATCCTAGAGGTTTAAGCTAAAATGGGGAATTTGCTTCAAACTATAATGCCACTATAGTTTACAATAAACGTCTCTATGCAAAACGGTATATTTGCGATCGGCGTATAGGCAGCCCTCCTAGGTAAAGTTTCAATCAAACATGACATTTGAATACGCAGTGTCATTTTGAAATAAAATGCAATCATGTAGAATGCATTCGTGATAGCATGAGAAATAATCCCAACAGACCACAAATCAGGCACTTTATGATTAACACTCCTCCGTCTACTTACCGTAATCCTGTCTAAGACCATATAAAGGGCGAGGTGATCGGCATGCCAAATCCTGTCTAGGCAGGACCAGCTCCGAAATTTTGATGGAATAGTGCCTAAACTCTTGTCCGACGCAAATGAGTATGCCGGCATGTTTTGGTAGCCCTTGAACTCAAACCAGAATTCTTTGAAAATTTGCTTCCATTCCAGAAATCCAATTTTGTGCCAAAAAAATTTATGTGCGGAGCCTACAGACGCGACAATGTCAGTGTATCAATGAAGGCTCATTCACTCGGATATCTTTCGAATATTCAAGAACATTTAGGTTTTAAGGAATTATTGAATATTTCAAGTTTGCAAGCCTAAATTCGGATTTTGGTTAATGATATGCTTCCTTGAACATCTAAAAAGAAATGATACACATTAGGAAACGATATATTTTTTCACAGCCAGTTTTATTAAAAGGCAAAGGCGAAAGAAATGGATTTCAGGCTTTATTATAAGAAGTTAATCGAGGACGTAAATGCATAGCTCTACAGAAATGAGATCAGTTCACTAAACGTAAGCATATACTTGTAGTGAACCTAATGGGAACAGAATTTTCGATTCACTATGCCCATTCGAAATTTCTAATGTGCGGGACGATTCAAATAAATGTTCATTTTTTCTTAAATATTCTTTAGATGTGCAATTCAACAGAGATGTGCTATCGACGACAGTGGAAAGAACACCAAAAAAGAATCAGGTAA